GTGTATCAGTCACTGGGATTCATCCACCCTGTGTGGCCCCTCTCACTATCCAGGTGAAAAGAGATCCAGGTGGAAGAGAAGGGATATTGGTGAGGGCAATAGGGCTGCCTGGATCCATGCAACATCGCATCGCTTTGGGCTCCAAATCCCAGCGGAATTTTGTGTAAGAGTGCAGTCATATATAACAATAAGACTATGAAAGAATGACTAAAATAGAGCCTGAATTTGAATAGGAAACCAGATATTATGTCTTTACAGGAAGAGCGTGAAGCTGGACAGTGGGGTCATCATGAGGGCAAATATACTTCCCCTTTATGTAAAGCTTTCTGAAAATTTGAAAGAGCGTGAACATTTCTTTCCATGATAAACATGGAGTGACCCACTCCCAAAGCTTTTTGCACTTCAGTGAAATCTGAATCAGAAAATATGATAGGTATAGTCTCTCCCTAGACTATTTAATGCACTTGCTTAACTGAGACCTTTGTTATCTCCATCCCTGAGAACTGCTTGGGAAAATAAGATGGTCTTGAGCAAGTTGTCATTAACAGAGCTTTTTAAATTGTCTTTTTTTCTGTCAGATGCGCTAAGCTTTCGTGTGCCCTTTGGAGAGATGTCAGCCTTAGAGAACAACTGGCAGGGCTGTGGCAGAGTGAGGAGCTTTAGTCACAAGGCTTAATTCAGGGATGCTAACGCTTGCTTTTTTTGAAGACTTCACCTTTTTGTCACGGTCATTAAAAGCAGTGCCTGTAATGCTCAGTATAGCTCCACACGTGCCTCCATGCAGAGGGCTGCACAGCTGACCCAAGATCCTGACAGATATCTCAACCCTCTCTGCTCATGGGGGGCAGCAAGGACTCCCCCGCCTCCTTCTCCCCTTTCCTATGAGGAGACGGACAGAAACAGGGACTTCTCCTGCACGTGCTCTTGGGTGAAAGGGAAAACCAAAGCTGAAATTAGGGAAGAGAGCCAGAGAAAGAAGGGGAGAAGAATTCATTCTGTTTAGTGCTGCAACACATGAAACACTCATTTGGTGTCAATCCAGTGGAACAGTGTCCTGTGCCCTCTCCACCAGTTGCTACACAGACTTTTTGCAGCCTCCCGCTTCCTTCAGCAGCTCCTTTGCAGCCTCACTCCAGCGAGAGGGTCCCACTCTGTTTCTCTCCCAATCCTAAACCTAATCCTAACCCTACACCCTGGTTGCAAGTCGAGCCTTGTCGAAAACACCCAGCCCTGGTGCAAAGTGAAAAACTCTTTTGGAGGGCAGAGTGTGGCACCTCAGTCACGTTTAGATGACTCGTTCCAGGTTGTGTCTTTTCTGCACCAGAACTGCAGTCTAAGAGAGCACCAGGGTTGTAGCCTCCTTGACAGGTCTGGTGTGGCTGGCTGCAGCATCAGCCTTTGCCACAAATGTCCCTGGCAGCTGGAGAGGCAGTGCCATTCCTGGATCCAACCATCTCTTCAGCAGGTGCTTGACTTGCTCTAGCTATACCCTGGAATCAGTGTTGCGTTTCTGAGTAGCTGGAGCAACTTGTCTCTGTAATCTCAATACATTCCTTACTGCAGGATGATACCAAGGAATGAGCTCTCTCGGTCCCGTCAGACACAGATGAAGGATTTTGCCACTCAGCTGATAGATTTTAAAGACAAACTGAGGAACTGCCCTCTTCTGTAGTGCTTGCAAGCTGGTACTTCTGCAAAACTTCCTGCTTCACTTCAGAGCATTTCAACACTATCCGGGAGACAGCTTCAAGCCTGGAGTGCTACTCTTGCAAATGACCTCTCTCCCTTATGCTCAGTGGCAGAGACATCAGTGCTAAGTGCCAGTGAGAGCTCTATAGCTCAGTGTAGCCCTATTTCTCGGTTCTCAGAGCCACGTTCAATCGCGTTCCTTGACAGCAATAGGAAATAAACATCCTCATTTCTTATTTCTCAGTCACCACTGAGGTGTGGCACTGCAAATGAGTACCGCTACCAGCAGCTACATGCCAGAGGAAATAAATCCCCTTGGCAGCAGCAGCTGCACTTGTTTCCTCTCACCACACAAAACCTCGGCTCCCGTAAGCACTCTGGAGGAGACCATCAGCAGGGCACAGCCAGACGCGGGGTAAACCATCACCTCATACTCCCTTGCAGGAGCATCAGAAGCAGGAAAGTGTTTTATATGACATTGCAACACAAGGTGGGTCTAACGAGGACTTGTGCTGAGACACAAATACAGGTCTTGAGAATTTCTAATTTCTGTAGGACAACTTTTTGGAGCAGAAAGCAATGCCTTTAGGAGCAAGAGGATCTATCTCTCACAGTTTCTGAAGGGGAAAAAAAGCATCAATACAGTCATCATCTCCGAATTCCTAGTTTGCTCTTCTCTTTAAGTCGCAGACAGAAATGCCATGCTAATAGATTTCTGACCCTTGAGCTAATGAGTTCTGAAGGTGGTTCTCCCGTTCTCTGGGGCAAGTATACTGCATTTGGTAGCACATTCTCTTGCCGGGCTGGCAGGGGCAAGGGGAAAGCACCAGCCCTAAGAGGAGTGCTGCCATCAGAGCGCTGCTACCCCGAGGCTGGCAGAGCAGGTGCCACGCATTCTCAGTTCCTCCTGCGAAAGACATTGAAAGGCAGAAGCCCCTGCTTCCACTCCTGCTCTAAGGTAAGGGCATGGCCCGACTGCATAGTGAAAACTGTTGTCGTTGCAAGGTGCCCAAGGGACATACCTGTCTTTCAAAGCTGCCACAGAAACCTCTGCAATGTCAAAATCCCATGTAAATGTGAAATACATCAGTGTTAGTTCTGTGCCTTGTATGTTTCCACTCTCTTAAGAGGAAACAGTTAACAGACTATAAAAACCCCAAACCTAAAAAAACCCAAACCAAACCAAACCAAAAAAACGCCACCTCAAAACAGTAAAGATGGTGTTCTTGAAGGCATGGTTAGAGTTTTACAGCTTGCGTGGCTGCTTCCTGAATAGCTGTTTAGGCGTCTTTCAGACTCTCCGTGGTTAGTCTGAGCTGCCGTTTCACCGCCCACCAGCTCTCCGCTCTGCGTGGCACAACCCCGCACGCCGATGGAAGCCAATTCCTCATTTCAGCTGATTCCTTCGGCTGACTTTTGCTTTTGTTTTGCTTGCAGCAGATGGAGCTCAGAAAAGACCAGCAACGTGCTGGCTCTTTGCTCTGAGGCACACCTTTACCCACGGAGACTCCCCAGGGCAGCAATACCCTGGCCTTTGTGGGAAAGGTAACACACTGCCCCAGTGAGCCCAATTTTAAGTAAAACCGTGGTGTTACTAAGCCAATTGGGAGGACTCAGTTTCTGCTACCTGGTGCCAATAGCGGGTTTCAGGTGGGGTAAGTCCACAAAGCACCTCAGGCACCCAGCACCGGGGGAGGAGGGGGACGGGACGGATACACCGGTGTGTACTGCAAGTGCTGCAAACCTCGAGGAGGAGAACCTCGTCAGAAAGTCGGCGTGGAGGTCGCTGCTCTGTCACCGCAACTATGGGCGCTTGGCGTTGCAGGGAGAGGGAGGGCGTTCGTTAGGCAAAGCTGCTACGTGGCAGGAGAGCGGCACACGGCAGCGCTTACAGCCTTCCAGGCATACCTGTGGTATGTTTTTTTAAAATGCGGATTGTACTACAGTCGTATTGGAAAATAGTAAGTAGGGCAGGAAAACTTTGAACTTTAATAAACTCGGTGAGCAAGGGTGAACTTTCTCTGAAGGTTCTTTTTTGGTTCTTGTATACAAATCAGGACTTCGCCTGGGTTTCTTTTCTTTTGTCAATATTGCCAAAGATATCTCACGTGTGCCTCAAAATGACATTTAAAACAAATATTCTGCATAAAAAAGCTGTCATATCAAATAATAAGATTGCTGTTGAGCAATTGCGACTCAGTATTCTGTGTACGTCTCTGTTTGGAGGTCTGTGGGCCAGCAACTGTGGTGGTTTGGTGGTGGGGCATCACCTTCCCTTCCTCATCAGTGCATGCAAATCACATGCTTCGAGCGAGTATTTCATTCACATCCTCCAAGTACTGCCGTTGGGGTGGAAGGACCTGACCCAGTGTGTGTGTGTAGCCCCCCCCGTTTTCCAGGCTTTACCCCGGGATGGGGAGCTCACGCAGAGGCTGTGACCAGTGTTAGTGTTCAGTGCCCAAAAGCACGCCCTTGTCCTCCTCTAGGGCCGCACTTGCAGAGCCTAACTGACTGTGCCACCACGCCATCGACCACGTTTGGAGTCGACTCCTTTTGAGGGGAAATGGTCTTGGTCAGTCCTAAATGGCAGATGTGAGGGTGTAAAATCTCTCTCTACATACATATATACATAAAATAGAAAATAAAATTTAATCATATTTTAGATTACCTATTTTCTCACGAGTGCAGATGCGGAAAGGTTCCCTCCTTGCGTACCTGCCTCCGCAAGCCTCAGGACTTTGTGCTTTGAGTGCGCTGCAGCCCCCCGGGCAGAGGGCTCTGCTCTCCGGGCTGCCAGAGCCCCTCCTGCCCGCTCCGGCCTCGCGCCGCGGCCGCTCGGTGCAAGGGCGCTGGCGCGGACGGGGTGCGCATCGCCTGCCCGGGCGGTTGCACCGGTGCGACCGCACCACCTAGTGCTGCCTCCGCGCAGCCCCCGCTCGCCCCCCCGCCGAGAGCAGGCTCGCCCGCTTGCGCGCAGGTCGGCGTGGGCCGCGCCTCAGATGCGCGTGGAACCGTTCTGCCGCCCCCCGCGAGGCCCCGGGAGCTGGAGGAAGCGACGTGGCAAAGGCGGCGGCTCCCGGCCCCTCGCCCGCCCGGTGAGGCGAGGTGAGCTGCCGGCCAGCTCGGGCAGCTGCGGAGCGGGGGGCAGCGTGACACGGCGCTAGCTTGCATCCGCGACGTGCGTGCCCCGCACGCGCGCGTGGAATAATAAGCTGCCTCCGTGGGCTCTGAAGGGAAAAGGCGGGCTCGGCGCCAGACCGCGGGCCGTGCTCGGTGCCAGCCCGAGTCCCGTCCGGAAGCGGTAAGGCAGCGGCAGAAATAGGGCCCGGGCCCGCGGCTGCTGCTCGCCCGGCTGCTGCCCAGGGGCTGCCCCGAGGCAGAGCTCCCGCCAAGGCCTGATGTGCCGGGAGCAGCGCCCGGCGGCTGCGAGGGAGCGGCGAGCTCGCTGGGGACCGAGCCGGAGGGGGAGGAGGTCTGCTGCCGCCGCAGCCTGGCGCAGGTAACGGCCCGGTGGTCCCTGGTCAGCCGGCGAGCCTGCAGAAGCAACGGCAAGAAGCCCCAGGAAAAGGTGCGGCCCGGACTGCCCAGCTGGAGGGCAGGAATATGCCGGCTCACCCCGAAAAGCCTTTGGCAGCAGGTCCGGCAGCAGCCGGGCTGCGGAAGCTCTCCTGCTTCCCGGGGGGATAGAGGGGACACCCACGGCGTGATGTGGGAGGAACGATGAGCACCCTCAGCCAGGCAACTCTTTTGCTCTTAAGCATGTGGGTTAGTGACTTCATAAGTTACTGAGTGTGTGAATTGTTGAAGCAGTAGAGAATTGAGAATTTAGACTGGTTTGTCAAAAGGGGATTGAGCCCTTGTTTGATTTTTACCTAATGAGCTCACAAAATAAAGCTTGATTGACAGAGTACAGTGCTCTGTGAATTTGAGAGACTCGGTGGAACCATGACAATTCACAAAATAATCCACTGCTGAAAGCAGAATTACATGGCACAGTAGTAACAAAATGGAAAACGCTTTAACCATGTGGTTGAGAGATTAAGGAACAGGACTGAAGGAAACATGGGTTTATCAGGAAGCTCCCTCAGAAGGCGCAGGGGCTGTGTCAGAGCCAGGCCTGGCAGCACCAGCAGGTTGGAGGCAGGCTGTGGACGTGGGGTGCCTCCGCAACACTCCACAGAGCACTGCAGTAAGTGTGCGTTTGTGGTAACTCGCATTTTGTGGCTCTGCTTCTCTCTTCTCTGAGTAGATTCCCAAAGGCTCCAGGAGAGTTTCGGTTGTGGCCAAGGCGACAGACCTGGACTGAATCTGAGGAAGCAAAGGAGCCTGCAGGTCCTGTGGCACAAGGCCTGAAGTACTGGCACTGCAGTGACAGCTGCTCGGAGACCACGCCGAGCTTTGCGCCTTGGCACGCGTGACCTGTTCAAAAGCGTGGGTGCACAGGCAGTATGGCAGCCAGGCTGTACTGCAGAGGAAGTGTGTTTCATGGCTTTGGCTAAATTTCATTAAAATATGTCCTTTTTAATGGCAGACTTGCTAGAAGCCCATATTTAAGGACGGTTGGTTTCTCTTACTTGTAGAGATGATCACGGATCACTTGGGAAATATACATTAACAAAGCATGTTGCAAGACTTCTTGCTTTCTGCGCTTTTCTTCTGGTTTTGGTATATGTTGGATTTCACTATCCAGTAACAACAACAGGCATTTTTACAAACAAAAGCAAATGAACAAAACCAGAGCTGTAGAAATGGAAACACTGCATCGGGTAGGACAACAGCTGGGCTTTTTAAACAGCTAGCCTTCATCACCCCTGCTCGTGTATCACCTAGATGACACTACGGAGGTCTGCTGTTGTAACCAACAGTGTAATATTTACAATGTTGAAGTAGGAATGTTAAATGGGATTTGTTTTCTTTAAGTAGCCTAAATACTCCTCATCATTCATAGGTATGATGTATCTCGCCACAAAGAAACACTTGTCAACTTTTAGGAAGCAATAAATAAGTGTCAATGACAGAACTCCAAAATGAACTCTTAGTTGTGTTTACTTTTTAGGATTAAAAGGTGTGGTAATACAATCAAGGAAAAATACTTTAACTTGGCTAAGAAGGAATCAATTTGGTCTTCAATTGCTTGGGCAGAAGAGTACTAAATAACTATACCATTCTCCAAAAAGGCAAGACTACTTAAAAAATGTAATCCTGCTGTTAAGAAGATTGGGAAAAAACATTGCAAGGGATTGTCATGCCACTGGGCACCACAGAACCTGCTCTTGTCTAACCAGGTTTCCTTTAATTAATGTAGAAGCTTTTGCAATGTCAAAGGAGTTATCTAAAGCATACAGAAAGAAATGTTTTTTTTTTTCTTGCGACTCACTACCTTTTGTGACTGAAGCTATTGTTTAATGGGATTTGAAGCTGAAAATCCAGAAAGCAGATTTTCTAAACATCAAGATAGCAATTTAAGGCCCTGCAGTGTAAACAGAAGCACAGCTTAAACTGTTCAATGTTTGTAACACTAGTATCTTCTAATAAATTCTCCCCCTGCAGAAGCAGATTGATTATCAGACCAGTGACCAAGAAGATACTTGATATAAAGTTGCTGAAAAACATTAACTGTGGAGGACTGCAAACTTTGCTTTCAGAAGTGATAACCATCTGTTCTTTCTATTGAGCAGATAGATTCGTAGGTGTTCGGTACTTCTGCAGAGGTGCCTTGTCAAGTGACTTGCCCGGGAAATTAACTTTGCAGTTACTCCTTTGGAAATACACTGGGGCTGAAGGTCCAGCCCGTAGCCTCGAATGATGGCAGATTTTCACCGATTATTCAGTAGTTCCTGCAAAGCTGTCTTCTTTCATTTGGTAGAAAATTCACAACTTCAGCAGGTGAGCATTCACTCGAATGAGCAACAAGCAACTCCGTCACAAAATTCTGAATCAAAAGTTGAAAGGTAAAACCTGAAGTTATCTCTAACTGTAATAATTCAGATGGGGTTTAACAAAGAAGCTTGCATAAAACTGTAGTTGTGCTGTAACTACCCAAATTCTTGATGCAGCTGTTAACAACCAGAATATACTGTTCCTAATCCATTGCAGAGGAACAAAACTGCTCATGCAGTGAGAGGCAATGACTTAAACATCACTGTGGAGCATCAGACAATGAAGGGTATTATATAAAAATAATCTCTTTATTGTGATCTTTTTTTCCATTTACCTGACAATGTTATTTCTTAAGAATAAATATTAACAGGTGAAGGCATCTCTGCTGAGCCTACAATTTCATGTTTCTTGCAGTAGCAGTGCTGTCATAACCAACTTCTTCCCCGGCTGCTTGTCCCTGCCTTACACTGGGGGTCTTTCTGGGCAGCACATGGGCGTGCCAGGCCATGCTGCCCACCAGATGGGTGGCTGCCCCAGTGGAGTCACCGCTGCCCACCCTCTTCACCCTGGATGTTGCCAGTGGCAGCACCGGCTTCAGTAAGCCTCCTCGCTGCTCTTTTCTGCCCTTGCACAATCCCTGAGTTGTCTGAAACCCTCTGCAGAGCTAGAATAGGGAACAGATTTGACAGAAAAATACCATTTATTAAGACTGGTTGGTTTTCAGTGAAATCAGTTCAGTTGAGCCCATTCAACACACAACTGAGTAAACATCACATTCTCCAAACAGTGGAGAAAGAGAGGGGAGAGCAGGAATAAGGTAAGGGCTCAGAGCTGCTGAATGTCTCACAAAAAATGGTGTGGCCATGTGTACCCTTCTGATACAACCAGCCACCCGGGGGGTTGAGCTAAACTTGTACTCTGCACTGGAGCAGAGCTGGAGGTCAGAAGGAAAAAAAAAAAAAAAGAAAAAAAAAGCATCTGACTAAGCACTAACTAATAGCTGAGGCGGCAGCACCTTTAGCAGCTGTAGTCATTTTGGAAATGAACTTGTGACTACCCTCTAAACCACAGCTACCTCAAAAGCCGACCTTACCCTGAAATAGGAAAGATTTATTCTTTTTGTCTTCCCACTCTGAGAGCATTTCAGACTCAGTGAGATGAAATAAAAAACGCATTTAAGTAAATTATATAGGTAGATGAAGAACCTAAAGTAATTTTAAAATGGGAAACACTAAAATCATTCTGTAATAAGTTATTTTTTTTACCTCAAAACACTTTTATACTTTGATGTAAAATCAATTTACTTTAAATCTGTTACTCTAATACAAGAGAGATAATAAACTCAACACCACTTACAATAAACTTTACAATAATTGTCACGTTTTAATAAACTGGAAAAAATGAACATGTAATGACCTTTTGTGCTAAATCCACTGTTTGTAGCTTTGGTAAGATATTTGTTCATCTGTACGACAGAGGTTTTAGTCTGATAAACAGAATACATCACTTGGCTTTTAAACCAATTCATTAAGAGTTCTTTCAGGAAGACTGAAAAACAACCACCTTTCACCTTCAACTCAATAAATCATATCCCATTTAATTCAGTTTTTATTCAATGAAATGATGTATAAAAACTTACAAATCTGAGAACTTAACTATACACAAAAAGATGATATTCAGTTTAAATGTATACACAGAGAAGAGCTGTGGTTTGTGACTTGCCCTCTCCCGCCCCTCCCCCCAAAACACACACTGTCTCCATTTATGATGGGACACTTAATCTGTCCGCTTACACCTTCTGTTGGCCCAGTAATTGCTCGGTGGGCTTCATTGCTGCTGTCAGTTTAGGTTTTTAGGCTACCAGCAAAATATCTGGGCATCTATATAAAATAATAAGAATCAACAACTTGATTTTTAACACAAAGATGCAGTGCTACTATCAGCAGTAACTAAAACTACAGAATTCACCCTTTTCGTTTTTGCAGACTTTGTCTTGGCTTTGAAAATAACAGGACTCTCACAAGAGTAGAATTTGTCAGCCAGCATTACAGATTCGCTTTAAAACAACCATGATCCCCTGTTCCTAGAACATCTCTGCACCACTTTTTCTTCCTCTTAACTCATGCCACTAGACCAAATGGAATCATGGACATTCCTTGCCTGAGTAAGGCCATAAAGCCTTCCTCTCTCTTTTCATCCATAATGACTCAAACCTATAGCTAACAACACATGCATGTGCTGCACTAATGATAGTACAGTGCTCACCAGTATGTCACACCTCAAGTTTGCTTTGTAGCTTGGGTGACAACACTTACCCATTAGCTTCTCTTCAACAGGCAAATAAAAATGCACACAGCTCAGGATGTTTTAAATTTGATTAAAAACAACCTGTGCAATGAACTAGTTTTGTCAAACAACTAAAAGACTTTCTGGGCTGAATCTGAGAGTAGATGACCAGTTACTTAAAAAGGATGCGTGCATTTATTTACCTGTACCAAATATACATACAAACACTTTCTATATATATATATATATAAAAATCTTTGTACAGATGCAGTATTTTTTATATATATATATATATATATAAAGATTGCCATCACATTATTATTACAGCTACTTAAGTCAAAATTTGACTAAGTAACTACTTTGCTTGACTCAACGATGCTATCTGAAACAGATACCCAAAACCTTAAAGGAAAACATAAGGCTAAAAGAAACCCAACGCCCTCAGCTCTTTTTAACTCAATGGACAGAGATTTCTGCATCCATTGAGAAAAGTTCTGAGGGTTTTAAGTTACAACCTTAATCAACTTGCATGTGGACTTCTAAAAAACATGGTGTTTAATTTGCCAGATCATCTCAAAATGCCTTTTTCCAGGGAAACGAATATATATGTATATATATATATTCTTTGCTTACCAAACTGATACTCCGTTTCTCATTACACTCATCATTGTATCTAAATACACTTTTAAGCAATCTAAACTTTGTTTAAAATCTATTAAATTTGGATTAACTAATACTATCAACATAGTTAGCTGTATTATTTTTTTCACACGTTCCTTTGTATTAAAATCAATTACGTTGTGGTTTGATGCAAGAGCTTTTTGTTTGTTTTGGTGGGAGAGGCAAAGTCCAATTTCCTAACGTGCCAGTACAGTTCTGGTTGCTGAAGACAAAGGGTGGAAAGGAGGCTGGTGGAAAAGATGGCAGGGGTAAGTGAGGTAAGAGGTGGGGGGAGGAAAAAATTGATTTCATAAAAAATGAGTAAAGAAACTTTAAAAAATTGATATAGGTTTCACATTCAGTCTAACAACACTGCTTCCTGCTCCTTTTTGATGGAGGCTAACACTGCATTATCAGTCTCTGTGGCTTCTGTGTCCCCACCACCTAGCAGAATTGAGCGATCTTCTTCTAGTGTAAAGACAGAGTTTTGATTTTGGCACGAATGTTTGACTACTTCATTGGGAGTTGAAAACGTTTTGTCACACAAGTTACATTTGTAGGGCTTGTTGGTCTGTACCAGCATGTTGTCCATTTGACTGCCTTCCTCAAAAGTACAGAGTTCTAGAGTCTGTTTGTCCACCATCGTGTACGTGTCCATGCTCTGGTTTAGGCACACGTGTCTGGCAGCCTGGTTAGCCCTACAAAAGCTTTTGTCACAAGTGCTGCACTTGAAGGGCTTGCCAGTGTGTATGTACATGTGCTCCCTCCAGTGGCTTTTCTGAATAAATTTGCGACCACAGATTGAACATTCGTATTTCCGTCTTTTTACTTCCCTCTCTTGATCTGCCTGCTCCAAGTTGTCTATGTCTGCGATATCGGAGGGGGGCGGTGTCTCTGACTGCTGCTGCCCATCAATTATTGGGGAGTCTGAGATCTGCTGCAGCTCGCTGTCGCTAATCATCCCTGCTTCAGGCACTTCCACGGCATCTTTATCGGCTGTGTTGTTACAGAGAGACAGAGAAATATTACTTTCTCCCTGCTGGCTAGATGTGAAGGGAACTCCCGTGTGGATCTGCAGGTGCTCACGCAAACTACTTCGCAAATTGAACCGGCGACCACAGAGGTGGCAGGCGTAGTATTTTGGGAAGCTCCCATTCCTTTTCATAATGCTTGGCTTGACATGTGCTATTGTGAGTGAGGCAGGCTGTTCATCTGAAGAAGATGCCTCCATGTTGGCCTCCTCTCCTGCAGGTGAATTATTACCAGCAGCAGATACCAATTCTGGAGATAAAGAAGATGGCAATGGGTCAGAAGTGGACATATTTGTCCGGGTCACTTGTGGCAGAGTTGTAGCTAACTGTGAGAGCTGTGAGCCTTCAGAAACCTGCTCTTGGTTCATCCGTGATGTCTGTGGCCTTGGGTCTCGCCCGAGTTTGTCAGTTGCTGATGTAACCTTAGTGGGATGTCTTATCTGGTGATCTGCAATCTGAATGCCATATAATGAAGATGCTAATGGAAAAACTTGATCTGGGTGAGAAAAAGTTCCCTGACTTGCAAGGCTGGCCTCTTGAATTAGTGGATATGCATGCAGAAACTTTATTCCCTGTTCTAGTCGAACTGGGTCAATGAGTTGCGGTGCCATCTTCCCAGTGTACATCAAATGCAAGAGATAACTGAAGATATCTGGCTGTATGTCAGTCGCTTTCAAACGGACACATTCACTGAAAGGTGAAACAAAATGATCAATAAGAGATAAGGAAAAGCTCTTTTACCAGATCTAGGTTATTCAAGCATTAATAAAAATCTGAGGCATCTACTCAAATTCGAAAGACAGAATCTGCAATAAATATAGAGAAATGCTTTAACATAAAAGAGCTAATCTTCTTGGTCACTTGAAAGATGACATTTTTCCCCTCAGGGAAGTAACTGGCTTGAAAGACAAAGCCGTCCCATTGCAATCTACACCTTTCTAAATTGCTGTTATGTTATGTTATAGATTTGTTGTCACACGTTAGTAGATTTTGTAAATGGCAAAGATATTTATTTCTCGGAAAAATGATTTCCAATCTTCTCCTGGTTGGAATCAAACAGATCTGTACGTAAATTAAAACCTGCTAGCACTGGACTCTAACTTCACAGTCCATTAAACTTTTCTCTGTACTTAGCCCTGAAAACACCTAGAATTCATCTGGCACTTGCCTGGTTGGCTTCTATGCCTTACTAGTGTTTACAGCTACAGTTCTGCAAATGTGTGGTATCACCTTGTCTCAACTGCATTACGGCCTGTAAACCATCCAGGACAGGGTGTGAATTCCCTGAGGATCTGGTGCAACAGGCGCAGCCTGAGCACATCTAACCTATGGAGGCCAGGCTCCTTACAAAGCAGGATGGTAGCTTCTTTCCTTGAATAGGGAGGAAGAAATGGTGGCACCAGTGGTACGCCTGGTCAGCCTAACAGTCCCTTGGTTAGAGCGTTCAGCAAAGGGAGACACTTTGGCTGTGATGCCGTCTTCAGCCTAACAGGACTGAAACCAACACCATCCTCCAACTGAGAGCGTGCCCTGTGCATCAGTCTTTAGGATACTCTGGATTGAAACAGCCACCACTCCTCCGGTTGAAGCTGGATCTCTGTTCAGAGAGGCAAGGTTCACAGAAGAAGAAAGAGAATCAGGAATATCTTGCTTAGGCCAGTTAGCTAACAAGAGAGGATCTGGGATTCTGATCGTTTTTCAATGTTATTTGTAGTTCTTGTATTAAACAAACATTAAATAAAATATAGAAATCCAGAAACAGACATGACTGCACGTCTGAATGCTCTAACCACAGCAGGCTACTAAGCTGGGGA